TTCAGCAGAAGACTGCCAAAAAGACCTGTGCTGCGGACCAGATTGTAAATGGAAAGAAGGTGTCAACTGTTCCTCTGGGCTTTGCTGTCATAAATGTGACTTTCTGCCTTCTGGACATGTGTGTAGACAGGAAGCAAATGAATGTGACCTTGCAGAGTACTGCAATGGGACCTCGGAATTCTGTCCGGAGGATTCTTACAAGCAAGATGGAACCCCTTGCAAATATGAAGGCCTGTGTTTCAGTAAGGGATGCAGATCCAGATACATGCAGTGCCAGAGCATTTTTGGACCTAATGCCAGGGAAGCTCCCCACCAATGCTATGATGTAGTGAATATGAAAGGCGATCAGTTTGGTAACTGTGGCATTACAGGTCCTTCTACGTATGAAATGTGTGCTAGGGCCAACACAATGTGTGGCAGGCTACAATGTACAAATGTTAAAAACATCCCTAATTTGCCAGATCACACTCTGGTAATGGCCACCTATCTGAAGTTGGATGATCTCATGTGCTGGGGCACAGGCTATCACTCAGCCATGATACCCCAAGGGATACCAGACATAGGTGTGATCAACGACGGCACCTTCTGTGGTCAAAACCAAGTGTGTTTTAACAAGAGTTGCATTGATAGTTCAGCCCTGAAATATGATTGCTTGCCTGACAAGTGCAATGGCCGAGGTGTCTGCAACAATAATAAAAACTGCCACTGCATGTATGGCTGGGAACCCCCATTCTGTAAGGACATAGGATTTGGAGGGAGCATCAATAGTGGACCCCCAGGACCACAAACAGAGGAAGAGACACCCTCATCAGTTCAGGTCGCATATCTTATGCTAATACGCATTATCTTATTTGTCATCTCAGTGGTTATTGTGTTTTTCAGGCAACTGATGGTAAACATAGCAAGGCACACACGCAAACCACCACCACACAGATCCAGCACAAAGACTGTCACAAAATAGAAAATGTAACCAGACAATCCTGTCATTAAATATCATTAGCTATTCAACGTGCTTATCATTTATTCAAATGATTATTTTTCCCCAGAACTATTTAACATAAATTTCCCATGCATTAAAATCGGTAAAAGAAGTATTCTTGTTTTGGAAACAAATCAGTGCACAAATCCCAGGGAAGCCCCGTAAGATTCATTTGTCCTTCAGTTTGGGATCAAGTGTTGGGTAAAGACACCCTAACGGCATCTCCGAACACTGGCTTGGAATACGTTCACTTTCACGTAGTGATGATGTTTTTCAAAGTACAACCCTGTCTTAGAATCCTGGTAAAAGAGGGCCAGTCTGTCTCTGCCTTTGCTTCTTTCAGCCTGTTCAATGTCGGCGTCGGCACCTGTTCCCCTTGCTGTATAATACTTGGTGACAACACATTTTATAAATAAAAAGCATGTGTTACAAAGGTGACCCCTTCAGTGAGGATTTTCTCTATCATAGTCTCTCTGGTCACTGCAGCTGTGCAACTGTATGGAATCTGACTTGGTGTTTGGGGCAACCCCAGATGGATCCACCACACTGACCTGTCATAACACCTGCACCACTGCACTGTTTAGAGAAAAACCCTTAGCAGTGTCAGGAACACGACTATCAACACAATTTTATGTTTGGTATATATGCTTTCATGGGCAGGTTTTTGTGAAAATGTGACGAGGGACACCTGGCCCCGGGTATGCTGCATCCCTAAGTACAACACAGAGAGAGAAGAGTGCTTTCACTCCTAAGGTCCTCCCAATCTCTGCTTCCAAACTCTCCCCTGTCCACAGTACCTGGCATAAGAGAAAAGGAGGGCTAAGTGATTTCCCACATAGGAGAAGAGGAAGATTAAGTGATTTCCCACAAGTAATCATCATTGCCACATCTATGTCCAGGGAAAGGCTCATCCCTCCACACCTGGGTCGGGCCAAGTTCTTGTTCAAGACTGGGTCTTCCTGAAGTTCTCATTGAGACAGTACTGTAAGCCCCTGTACCCTGCCCCAGTCTCCTGCTCCTTAGCCACACAGTTTTAACAAAAGACAAAAGCAGGGCAGACACAATGAATGCTGGTCTAGTCTGTCTACACTGCCTTGGGTTTGTTTTTACTCAGAGGAAAAAAATGAGATAACCTGGGTTTTGTGATGTTCATAATTCCATTTATTCAGCTTGGTCATGACCATGCAATTGTCCTAAAATGTTAAGAACACTGAGTCATGGCTGATACTGATAATGATGGACAATGTTACTGAGAGTTCACTATGTGCCACTCTAAAGACTTTCATGAGTATTATTGTGTATTCTGCTGATAATGACTGACAGGTTTTTAAATAGAAACCCAGTCATAGTGAGGTTAAAGAACCGACACAGGTTTATATAGTAACAAAAATAATATTACTTGGAGAAATTTTATAAAATAATTCTGAAATGAAGCTTAGAAAAGACTTACTAAGGAACCTTAAGGTTATGTGTACATTAGGAAATGGTTTATACTTTTCACAGTGTGATAGAACATATATAACAATATTTGCTATCTTAACCATTTTTTATGTGCAATTTCTGTGGTGGTAAGTACATTTTCACCTTTGTGCAAATGCTCTCCAGACACTTCTCATTTTGCGACATTAACACCATATGTCCATTAAACAAGTGCCCCATTCCTTCTTCCACCATCTCCTGGTGTTCTGCTTCTGTCTGAATTCATTGCTATTTGAAAACCCTCATAGAAGTACAGTCTCATGGTGTTTTCCTTGGGGGACTGACTTCACTTAGCACAATGTCTTCAGGGTTCATCTGTGTTGTTTTTTGTTGATAAGAGGAAAAGTCTGGAAGGTGCTATATTTAATTACAAAGGCTGGAGGATGGAGGAAGAGTTAATAAGTTAGCAGCTAACAGGCCAAACCAGCAGAAGACTATCCTACATTCTCCACAGGTATGTTAAAGCCATGGTTCAGACCCTCCCACGTGGCTGACTGATAGGTGCCATTGATTCCTGTTACGATCTTAACAAAGACAAATTAACGAACATGTCTTCCTGTGGACTTCCCTCCTAGGCCAAGATTTGCCCTGCAGTGTGATCCCACCTCTCTAGCTACAGTCAATGTGGCTTCACTGCAAACAGCTTACTCCACACTTCTCATCTCCAGACTTCTCCTATGAAAACGCTCTTGGCTTGTAGGCATGGAAGACAGTTTTCTAGCCTGACTGCGAAGATACCAGAAATGTGCCTTGGTTCCTAGTCCTTTCTGGCTAGCATCAGTGACTCAATAAACCCTTTTATTCCAGAGATCTCTCAGTGTAAGAGTTTTGATTTAACTATCTGTCAGTATTTCCTTCTTTCATAGACTGGACAGTATTTCAGTATATTTAGACACTGTATATTCGTCACCATTCAGCTTGTTTCCACCTTTAGTCTATTCTGAGTAATGGTACTAAGCACATGGGCACAGAAATGTTTGCCTGGGGAACATATTTGAAAGTAGACTTGTTAAATCTTATGATAATTATGCTTTAAATTATTTTTGGAATTTATGCCTTACTGTTTCCATAGCATGTGGATACCTTGTGCATTTCAATTAGCATTGCCCAGGAGCTCCAATTCCTTTTTGAAAATCAGAGAGAGAGAGAGAGAGAGAGAGAGAGAGAGAGACAGACAGACAGACAGACAGACAGACAGAAACCATGGTGTATATATGAAGGTCAGAAGGAGGACAGCATTTCACCTTGTTTGGCATAGGGTCTCTTGTTCACTGCTGAGTGTGCCAGGCTAACTGGCCTGGGAGCTTCCCAAGATTCTCCTGTCTCTGTATCCCATTTTGTCATAGGAGTCCTGGGATTACAAATGTATGCTACCAAGTCCACCTTTAATGTGAGTTCTGGATCTCTGAACTCAGGTCCTGACTCTTGGATGGCAAACACTTGACCCACTGAGCCATCTCCCAAAGGGTCCTAATTTCTGTGCATCCTTCCCAGCACTAGAAATTTCTGACTCTTAAAAAATAGTCTCCCTCAACCGGCTATTGTTTTAAAATGATGGCCAAATGTGTTTTCTCCCCCTATCTAGAAGCCTTTGAGAGGGAACTGACACTGATTCTAACAACTCCAACAGCTATCAAAATACCTGAAAGCAAATCCTGAATCCATTACTCTGGAGTCCAGCCTTGGAAGACAAAAGAAAAATGAGGAACCCAACAGAGGGATGCTTTTGGACGTGCTCATCAAGAAATCCAAATGGACTCTCAAATGAACATTTGAAAACTGCCCTGTTTTGACTTTTTTTTCTGGTTCCCTGTCTGGAACTTGTAATGCTAATTACTCTTCTCTTTACTTCTCCTTCACATCTCCTATTCACCAGTCAAGGACTTTCTTTTTCCCCTACAGACAAGAGCTATGTAATTTGGGAGTCTTTTAGATAGACCCACTGAAGGGGTACCCTAATTGCCTCACCCTGCACCCCTGTTCAGCATGGAAGAAGCCAGAGCAGTCTGTATCCCAATTCCCTATCTGCAAGTTGGGTAACCTCTTCAGAGGATGGTGTGATAAAAATAGGAGGTAGGAATTGGCTAGGTAGTTGGGGAAAAAAGACCCCAAAGAAAAATAGCCAGTTTCTTGGCTAAAACTCACAATGTCCTTGGGCCTCTTAGCAACATACTCTGTTCCAAAAAAAAATACTCCATTCTAAAGGCCAAAAAACTCGAAAATATTTGGGAGCTTTTCAGAGGGGGGAATGTTAGAGTAGCCAAAAGCCCCATAAAAAGACCCATTAAAAAAAAGAAGAAAGAGTACATGAAGTTATTAGAAAAAAAGTGATGGGGAGATATGAGAGGAGTCAGAGGGGAGGGAGTTGGCATGGATTTGATCAAAACACCTTATATGCTTATATCCCTGTATGAAATTCTCAAATTATAAAAAAATAGCTTCTCTATGAATGTGAGGTAGTGTCTCATTACAGCTTTCAGTTACATATCGCCTAATGATTAGGGATGTTGATCATCTCTTTATATATTTGCTGGCTATTTCTGTATTTTCAATGGAAAAATGTGTTTCCCAAACACTTGCCCATTGTTTGTTTTAAACTGGTATTTTTCAAGAACCAATTAATGGTTTCTTTAGCTTCTCGTGATTGCTCTTCTACTTTATAGTCTCCTTATCGCTGCTCCAGTCTTCATCCTGTCCGTCTATCTGCTGCTTTTGATCTAGTTTACTCTTTTTTTCTACCCTCTTAAGATTTTGAGATTTTCTTTCATTTAGTGTGTTTATAGCTAAAATTTCCTTATGAGTGATACTTACAGTACATTAATAAGCTTTGATAGTTGTTATTCACATTTTCATTTGTTTCAAGATATTTTCAATTACCCTTGCAATTCATTCTTTAGTATAATTGACTATTTAAGGATGTGTTGCTTAACTTTCCTGGATCTGTGAAGTTTACAGTTACCATCTGTTGTTGATTTCTAGTTTCAGTTCATTGTGATTGTAAAAAGGTATGCTGTGTGATTTCAGTCATTTAAATTTTGTTAAGATCTGTTTTGTCATTTGTTCTAGAGAATATTCTATCTAAAATTAGTTTTCTAATCTGTGGGATAGGAAATTCTATATACATTTGTTAAGACCATTAACAATTCATCTGTAGTGGTGCTGAAGTCATGTGCTTTATTACTGATATTCTGTCTGGCTGTTGCAACCATTTTTGAAAGTACAGTATTGCTGGGCATGGTAGCGCATACCTTTAGTCCCAGCACTTGGGAGGCAGAGGCCTGTGGATCTCTGTGAGACTGCGGCCAGCCTGGTTTATCCAGCAGATTCCAGGCTAGCTGGGGCTACAGTAGGGAGACCCTGTCTCAAAATACAAACAAACTAATAAACGAAAGTACAGTATTGATGTTTGTTGCTATTATCGTAAAGCTACCAATTTCTCCCTTTAATTCTGTTTGTTATGTAAGTACTTATTATATCTTCTTAATGAATTAAGTCTTTACTCA